CAAGATTTGTATGAGCTCGAATGGTCTCTTACTAGCCTTCTCAAAGCAATTAAGCTGTTTAAAAGATCTGGAGGTTTGACATTTTGTTGTTTGGAATTAAAGAGGGGGTTGACAAAAAGTTTTGGGACTGAGAAGATAAGTTAGAAGTGGTGTTCTGAAAATCAACTGAGTTTTAGTTGTAGCTGGTGAAGAAAGAACACAACTAGGCTCTTCTCATGATGGAGATTTTGCAAAAACTTAGACAAAAAAGAATGGATTGAATTTTGTTCAGCCAGTATGCTGCGGAGTTATATAAGGAGAACCCCCACTTCTTCTATCTAAGATAATCTGGAAATTAAAGAAAATGCAGAACTATCAGCATGTAATTGTGGTACTAAATCATAATGCTGAAGATGTATTTAAATATATTCTCCTAATGTTTGGTCATGGTAAAATGGCTCCCCTGGGTACAAGGAGACCTGGTGACTATTACCTTGTAGCAAACTGTGTGTACAGATTGCTGTAATCCTAGGAATGTGAGCAAGATAAGTTGTTTTAATTTAGCAACTTCACGATTTCAACAGTATCATAATAATGTAGAAATAGCTTTTTTGAAAGTCTCGTACCAACATCGAAATTGTGTCGCTGCAGCTTTACAGAGCAGGATAAAGATTTATGTAACACTGCAAGTAAAACAGCCTTCTTGTCAAGGATGAGAAAGCTTAGATAGGATAGACTTAGATGACAGGTCTCTACCCAGGAAAAGCTGTCCTCGTGCATTCCTGGAACCTGGAATCTTTTTGCTTTTTTTTCTTATTTTTTTTTTCAGCAAAGTTGTTAATAAAATACAAGCAGACACTCCTAGAGGATGCAGTGGAACATCTGAACAGTGAGATCCTGCCTGTTCTCTTGCAATAGGCTGTGGTTTTCCTAAGCGATTTGATAGCTTTTGAAAGTGTTGCAGTGGCAGAGGAGTGTGAGGCTTTATTCCTTTTGTATTTTGCATGTTTATTAGTAGGCTAAATTCTTTTGCTGCGTTCCGCTACAGAAGCGCTTGTGTTGACAAAGCTCCCAATCTGTCCTGGTGTTAATACAAAGACACTCTAGAAGTGATGATGCCGTGAATTGCAATTGTATCTGGGCTGGCTGTAAACATTCAGCCTTTGTCCTGAGGCCTCGCTACGTGCTAGGTGTGATGTCATCCCAGCTTGTCGCGTCTTACTGAGCCCTTGCGTTAAGCTTTCTGAGCTGTACAGCTTGCTTTAGCTTATGAAAGCTGCCCAAATCTAAGCGTTACAGTCTTTGCCTCTTGCGATGAGTTTTTGCTTTTACTTTGAGAGAGCAGGAAAATGTCGTGTTACAGCGGTTACCTAAGAGATCTCAAACACTTCGTGTGGGTGATACCTGCGCAGCTAAGCTCGGCTACACTAAATAACTGTGTGTCAGCTCTGCAGTGAAAGGCCCAAAATAGTGGTGAGTTTAGCCACTGAGAATTAATAATAAAATAACAGCTGGTTTAGGATTCCTCTCATGAAATGCTGTCTTCCTGTTTGGGAAGATTGTGTTCCTTACGTGACATAACTCAAATCTGTCTCTTCTCGATACAATGCAGATATGGAAGAAAAAGCTGGCTTAATTTTCTCAGCAGAATTAGCTCACATGAAGTTCACTTGTTTGACCTTACAAACCACAAGCTTGGTTTTTCATCGCCTGCTATGGTGTTCGTAACTCCTGAGCCTGTTTGTGTCTCGAGATCAGAGTGTTTGAAGCTTGTGTGTGAATTCTGTATTTCAAAATATAGTGACTCATATCCGCGTGAAACTCAGCTGTTCCAAAAATAAGGATTACTTACAGATATAGAGAAACTTGCTGCCATTTATTTTTTTAAGTTAAATTAACATAGTTATTGGTAAATCTGAAGAATTAAAAAGTACTGCAACAAACTGGAAGTTCGATTGAACGTCTATTTTAATATTAAGGATATGTTGTGAAAAAGTTGGAATATACAATTAAATAACCATATTCCAGAAGTCTAACATTTGAAATATGTTCTGATACAGATGAGTCTGTGTGCTTGCACAGTGTTTTAAGAAAATCCTTTCTGATAAATGAATTGCTCCCATTCATGTTTTAAAAGCTAAATCAAACAAAAAACTTGAATAGTTAATCTTTTTTTAGGTTGTAGTAATTAACACATGCTGTACGCTAATAATGCAGGCAGTATCAAATCCTAGTATGTTTTCCCACGTACAGCAGGACTTAATTTCACTGTCAAAAAATGGAATGAGTTGGAATCAGAGCAGAGGATGATGAAGGACTGTCATTCAGTACAGAAAGCGTCAGCACATTCAGGTAGCTGCTGTAATGTGTTTAAACAGATAGTGGGAGTGCTTGGTCATCAAACCTGCACTGTAGCTCACGTCGCAGTCTGAAGGGTTTGCTGCAAATTTTTTGGAAGAGATTTCTTTGTATAGGCCCCCCAGACTGGGATAGATACTGATTGCAACCAACCAATGTCGTAATGTGGGTTTGTTCATTAAATCCTTCTGATGGAGAAAGGAGAAATGGAATTGTCGGGAAAGAAGAATATAGAGGCTGGTGAGAAGTTAAGCTTCATTTTCCAAGCAGTCTTCAGATTCTAGATATGGTTTAGAAGAGTGGACTGTCAGATCTTTATTTTCTATAAATCATTGCAATTAATAGACTTGCGTAGACCTGGACTACCGTAATTAACAAATGCTTGATTTGAGGGCATGAAAGCCAAATATACCTGTTAGGAGGATGTGCAGACAGAGTCCAAATGTTGACTGTATGTGGGGAATCTTTTCATTCTAATGAGTCTGAGGATTTTAAGAAGCAGATGACTCAGTTAAAGGGATTTTGCTTGTCCTCTGTATTTCCAGATGGGAATATTGCTGTAATCTAAAGTGACGGTAGTAGTGTTTACCCTATTGCCTTTTTCTTTACTTAATGAGCTGTCCAGAAAAGTTCAGGTCTCAAAAATACCTGGTACAAAAACGCCTTCAGGCCATAGAGCCGCAGTTAGCAGTGTCTCCCTTCTGATGTGTTTCCCACTGTGCATAAATATCCAGTTTGTGCTATGAAAGTCTTGAGGTAAGAATATTGCAGGGTTGCAAAACAGTGTGTAATCTATCTGTAACAGCGAGCGAGATGTTATCAATACAAACCCTGGAATGTAGCTCCTGAAAATAATAGTTTGGGAACCCAGTTGCAGCTGATAATTCAACCTTGTTTCTCCAGCAGTGATAGTGGTTAGTCTTTCAAGACTATCTTAAGTGAACCTGAGGGGAAAATATGCTTTTCCAAGGTACTTGTATTTGGTAGAGGAAGAAGATGATTAAACAATATGTGACTACCCGTATGTTGCTGAAAGATGTAAACAGATTGTCTTTTCATAAAGATACTATTCCTCTAAATTATTTTTAGCTGCAATTAAAAAAATTCATATAAACTTGAGGTGGGATTGAACTTGTTTAAAAAGAAGTTTATGCAAAGACTTCACTTGACAGGTGGGAGTAGCAGACTTCTGAATCTAGCCCTTGCCCGGGGTGTGCTGCCGGTATCTCTGCTGTGAGAGTCTGCTCGGGCAAAGCTGACGCCCTTTACCTAATCAGGTGCTTTCCTTGAGGTTCAGCACTTTGGCTAGAAGGTCACTTAGGAAGTAAGCTTCATATTATTAAAAGCCAATTCTAACATGCTTGTATTTTCCTCCAGTTTTCAGATGGGTGGTGATGTGCGTTCTGATAAACCCAGTATCTCTGGAATGACAGGAGCTAGTTTTAAGTTAGGAAGGTCTTGGTTTTTCTTTTGGGACTTGCACTTCGAGAGCTTGCTAAGGCTGAGTTTGCTTGGGAATCACTAAACACCAGACAGTAACACTGGCAGACGGGTGTGATGTCTTCCTTCTGTGAAACTCCTCACTGCTGTCTGGAAAACTATAAAGCAAAAAATATACAGTACAGTCAAGGAAGAGTTTAAATACGTACGTGTAGTGCAGATTTTGGAGTGGACTGGTAGAGTAGCAGTAGGAACCTCCAGTAAGCACTGAAGAATGAAGCGTGATTTATTGTCTCTGGAATGAGAAACAGAATTTTTCCCTTTAATACTGCAGTGAGAGAAATTAATGGAAATTCCCTCATATTATTTCGTAAGACCTGGGGATATAAAGATAATATCTGGGTGATAAAACTGAGGTTCAGCAATTTGTCCTCAGCTACTAGAATTTAATTGAATGAATGAGAAGTGGAGAATGCCTTAAATAAAACAAAACAAAAAAATACAGACGTGTAAGGGACATTTACCGTTGAGTTGAAAGCTCCCTGGTTTCCTCCATCCTCTCACAGTGTTGCCAAACCTGTGTAAGGGAAAAAAATTGGAATTGCTTTGTGAAACCTCTAAACCAGAGGCAAAGGGCTTCTCTTTACCTTTCTGTAGCAAGAGTCTTTCCAGCACCTTTTGAAGGGCTGCATGCCATGGTCGCTTAGCGACAGAGAAATCACTTGTGGATTGTATGAGCGGTTGTGGCCACATCGATTCCATGCCTTGTGTGAGCCTGAACCATGGCTCTGTCCTTTATGAAAAATTGGCGTCAATGTGGTTTTATCCTTTGGCATGTACTACTTGTGATTCTGCTTCTTGATAATGAACACTTCTACTGCGTTTCTAAATTTCTCCCTCATGCTCTACTTGCCTCCAGTGTTTTAAACTTTTTGGCATAGTTTCATACGTGTGGCCATCATCTGATCAGGATGAAATTAGGATGAAATACTAGAAGAACCAGTTGGCTTGATTTCTTTCAGCTTCTCTTGCATTGTGTAAAAATGCTGGGTTAAAAGCTTCCATGTTGCCTAACTTAGCGTAAGATAAAAGATGATGTTAATGCTGTATTGTGAAATGTTGGGGGTGAATGAATTTTAAAGGCTTTGTGTGTTTTTTGTTTATTTATTTGTTGGGTCTTTTTTTGTTTGTTTTGTTTTGTTTTTGTTGTGTTTTTTTAACAGGAGTCTTACCCTTCTTCATCACCAATATGGTTTGTAGAATCAGATGACCCAAACCTGACTTCAGTCTTAGAGCGTTTAGAAGATATTAAGAAGAGCAATACTCTGGTGAGCAAATGTTTTGGTTGTTCTGGGTGTTTATTTGGTTTTGGATGTTTGTTTAGCTTTATCACATTAACAAGCAGTTAGTTCAGTTTTGGTGTTAATTGAGGAATCTGTAAACACAAGTTTCTCTTTCAGAAACATAAGAACCAAAGGTAATCCAAAAGGCTGGGGGCAAGGAGGTGACTTAAATGCTTACACTTTAACAGAAGTGGAGTTTCAGCCCCAATAATTACACAGTTAAAAGTTTTCTGAAACTAATTAAACAGTGAAATGTATGAGAAATTAAAACTGCTGAATGAAAGAGGCCTTCTAGAGTTTTCTTTGCACAGAGGTCAATCACGGAGGCAAACGCTCTGTGTTGTTGAGAATATATATTCTCCAAAACATGGATATAATGGGAACTACAGCAGAGGATTCCCAGTTTCATTAAGGAGGACTTGACCTCATAGATTCTGGTTCATCAGAATTTTCCTTAGAATTTTGTAACTTTGGATGGTTGGTGCTTAAAGAAAGTCTTTGCACAGATGGTAGTTTTGTATTTCAGAAAACTATCAGGCATTATGTCTTACTGGAGTGCCCTTTTGATGTAGTGATAAGAGCTCTATAACATATAAAAACAAGTACCTTCCAATTCTGTGCAGGAAAGCGAGTGTCCTTGAATATTGCTTGGAGATAAATTTCGGTACAAATGTTGCAGTAATGCAGTTGTTTTTCTTCTCCAGATTCAGCTTGATGTATATTAAATAGCCCTTAAAGATGATTTTTGTTTGTTTATTTTAACATTTTTTGTTTATTTTTGTGTGCAGGAGCACATGCACACACCTGATGCATACAAAACAAATCAGTGTGCAGGACACTACTTACTGCAAGGATTATGCGCTGGCCTTAATATTTACTTGGTTTTGGAAAACAGGATGTTCTTTCTCATGAGATCACTCACCTGTAATATTTACTGGGATAATGTTTGTCAAGCATACTTGACCTTAAGTAAGATTGTGTGTAGAATATTTAGGATGTATTTGAATTCTAGTAGCAGTAATTCAAAAACTAACAAGCGAGTCCTCATGGGCCTTGCCATAATTAAAAACAAAGGGGCTGTGCAGAGGACAATTAATGCTTTAATGTATTATGCTGGATCCGATTACAGAAATGTATTATGCTGGATCTGATTACAGAAAATGTACATATCAGTTATGTATTTTCTTCTTACAACCTAAACTTTATAAGTATGCTATAAATCTCTTAGTCTTTGTGACTTCTGCCTAGAGAGATGTACAACAGTGTAGTAGCATAAAATGTGGCCAAATCAATGTTTTTCTTAAATACACTTCTCAGAAGGTTCTCCAGCTTGAAGCCGTTATGCCTGGTAGCTTCAGACTAAAGGTTTTAAACAAGATGTTTCCTACGATTCTCTACCTAGAGGCTTGCTTGGCTTTATCACAAACATGGGTAGGACTTGCTGTGCTCTATTGCATATGCACATAGACTGGTTATGTATGTTGTAAGAAAACAGCTTCTGATATCAAGATTGTACTTGCCCACGTCGAAGCTGAGGGGTTGATGTCATGGACACCTGCGGATGGGCCGTTGGTTTCTCAGGCATCCACCCGATGTCGTGTTATGCCAAGAAGAAGACAAATGGGAGTGGTTGAAGATACAAATACTTGGCACTACAAAATCTGACTTCTTTGTTTGGCTGAAAAGGCTTGCCTTTGTGGGTTTGGGGTTTTTTTTCTCCTTCCAACTTTTCCTTGTGCAACTCCCCTTCAAGGATGTTGGAGCAACTCACACACAGGCTTCTTGGAGCAGGGTGTGAAGGGATAAGGAACTACCTGTAGAAATCCAGAGGCTTCTGATTTATCACACTATGTCCTAAAAGCTCACCTAGTTCAATTTAGACTTTCAGGATGTTTCAAACCAGTTTCATTTAATTTATTGCACCTTAAGAATTGTTTGTGCTGTGGTACTCTAAACTCATGAAGTCACTGGAACAGTGAAATTTTGAGTGGGAAAATGCACTGGGCTCTTCCAGGAGCTCAGCTGGGCACAGCAAGCATGCTAAAAGCACTGCTAGCCCATGTACCCTGATTTAGTGTTCTTTGGTGTTGCTCAGCTCTTTTTACTTACTTTGTAACTTGCAACAGGTATGAGCTGTTTGGGAAACTGGAGAAAATATACTCCAGACATAAAAGTCTGACAGGGCTGTATATATTGAAGCTTTTTCAGTTGACATGATAAAAGGAAAACTGCTTTACTATGTTAAAATCATACATGTGTTTCCTGAAAAATCCTCTGTGGGTCTGAAATTGTGTTACTTACCTTGGCATCAGCATGGTGTTTTTTGCTATGAAAATTTGTCAAAATGCTAAAATTGTTGAAAGGTTGTTAAGAATGCGATCAGCATAGAGATAGCATTAAATTTGGAGGCTTTAGCTGCTTGTCTGTATTGAACAAGTTCCAGTCAGCAGATGAGGGGGCTACGGAATTCTTCCTGACCACTAGTGTCTCCTGAATTCCTTTTTGGATCCTGAAAATCAGAATTACGTTGGCTTGGTATGTAGCTCAAGCTGTCAGCTGCCTTCTAGTGGTTGTGCCATGCAAAAGATAAATCCTGCTTCTATTTAGTTCTTCTGTTTAATATAATGGAAGTTATAGCTGTGAGTCTGAAGTCTCAGATGTTACCTTGTGGATTGTTAAATGTAACTATACCTTATTTGAAGGTTTTCTTTTTAAAGACAGTAGTGAAATGGACTTAAATTCAGACAGGCAGCTTTAATTCTCATACTCTCCAAACGCTGAGGGCTTAAATTTGCAAGGAGGATGTCAAAACTATAGAATTCTTGGTGTAAGTATGTGTACAGCTTGGATAGCCTGCTGTCCATAAGCACACTGCTTCTGGACTAAGAATTTAGGTTCATTCCCACAGAATGGCATTTCAGGAAAGAATGTTGACTCTTGCAAACGAGCAGTGCAGCGGCAACTAATGTATTGGGGGTCATAAAGACAAAATGCAGAAAGAATCTTTGCTTTACTTTCTGAAACTGGCAAGGCTGCTGAATGTGAGGCCAGTTACTGTCACAGACTACGTGACAGCTGAGTCGTGGTCACACTCCAAGTGACAGTTATTTCTTCCCCCTATTTCCTCTTGTATCCTGTTCTTCAGCAGTTTCCTTTGGTGGTAGGCTAAGATTTATAAATTCATTTATTTTTATATAGATAGAGTGTGTGTGTATATATATATATGTGTAGATAGATGCATATGGAAGAATAAGTATGTGTATACTTACATTATACTTAAGTTCATGTTTCTCAATAATCAGAAAACAAGGTGCTTCATAGTAAACCTAGCAGTATATTAAAATCCTTAAAGGTATCCTAAAATTGTTAATGGTTTCATACTGTGCTTGAAAGATCTCTTCATGCATAAATGAATAATGTAGAATAAGTTTCAGAAAAAATGTAAACTGCTGTCAGATTTAGGAGATATTAACACAAGAAACAAAAAATTCTAAGAGGTGGTGTTGTGTTCTAAAGCACATTATGGTGTGCATAAGAGCTACCAACTTGTCAGAACTCCTGAAGCATTAGAAGTTATAACATAGATGTGTATATTGTATTTTTATATTTTGTCATTGACACTTAATTATCAGTATCAGTTTTTAAGTTTGTCATTGTATTTGGTCACTGGAGCCTTAGGCAGGTTATTTACATTGCTCCTTTCAATACCTTGTGTATTAGGCGTTCCAGTGGCTGTTTACTTTCTGCTTGAGGCAGTTTGTATTCCAGGGAAGCTGGTGGTATACTGGTAGACCACTTTGCTTCAGGAGCAAAGCGTGTGTATTAAACGTTCATTTAACATAAGCCAAGCATGCCAAGTTAGCCTGGAAATACATTTAAATTATTAATACACAGCAGAAGTCTGCTATCCCTTTTGATACTGACTGTCTGTGTAGCGTTAACACATACCAAGTCATGGTAGGCCCTGCTTACAGCTGGGGGTTGAGTCCCATGGCTGCCAGATACGCCTTTCAGCCAAAGATCCAATGATCTTTCGTGCATATATGAGCAGAGCATAACGGGTGTTAGTGATCAATGGCAGAAGAATCAGAGGTATGGAAAGGAATTCCTGTGGAAGAAAAACCTACCAGTAAGGAAGAAGTGTTGTAGAGGCAGGATTAGCTTCTCCCTCTGCCACCACCTCTGCAGGTTGCACAAACTGAACAAGTAAAAGGAACAATAAAACGGCGGCTGGGCAGTTGCATTAAGCCAACTCCGAAGCGTAGGCCACTGCTGAGGAAGAAGGGCCCTGCTCTCAGCTGGACATTCCCGTCTGCCCCTTGATGGTGAAGCCACGAAAGCACGTCAGCTGCTGCACGGTTCTGTGATCCCTGGTGCAAATGAGAAGTGTAAACATGGGGCTAGAGGCAGGAGGCACCTCTTCAGGTACAGCCACTGTGCAATTTGGTGCCAGCAGTTTGTTGCTCTGAGAGTGCCTGTGCCCCTCTCCGTGGTGCTGTGCTCGGAAGGAAGGAAGAGAAGCTTATGATGAGTTAGGACCTGGCTGCAAGGATTCATTCTGAACTACTCTTCAGGTGAAGGGATTTCTTAGGAAGAGGGTGGGGAGTTGAGGAAGCGGGGCAGGAAGCAGTTCTTAACTCTCTTCCCAGCCCTTGCTGTCTCTTTCTGTGGAGACATCTAACTCGATGTTCATCTGCTTTTCCAAGCTTTGGACCAGCCAAATGCCAGTGACATTTATTCTTTCCCCACCATTTAGCTTTATTTTTTTTTTGTATGCTTCACAACAGATGTAAGCAAATTAATGGCACGCCTAGCATTACATAACTATGTGAGGAAAAATTACAACTCCTGAAATTTTATAGTTTATGCTCCAGCTCTCAATAAGGCAATATTGTTTGTGCAAAAAAAAAAAGTATTTCTCAATGCAATGTGTAGTAGTACAACATTAAGCATCTTACATGTAATTGAGACTAATAGTTTTGAGTCGTGTGGTTCTGTCTACTAACTTTTTGATTAACCTGCTTTCTGCCTGCCAGAAGGCTTCCTGATGTGTGAGACACCCAGGAAGTTTGAAGCCGATGTGGAGTCTTAATACTGATGAGAGGTGTGACTGTGACAGAAAGCTGCTCGCAACATAAACTGTCACATCTCGTGTAAATGCTCACAGGAAATATGCTGCTGATACACCAGTTCTTTTAGTGTCATCTGCTTCATTTTTGAGTTAAGAATGACCTGTCGTGCATGGTGCAGGAAGAGCAAACATGGGTAGGAGAGAATGTCATAGTTGTTGTAATGCAGGCTGGTGTGTCAGCTCACAGCCACAGCAAGTGTGTAAGATTCCTGTTAAACAGGAGTTGAATTTTCCTGGAGAAGGGAAAAGCACTGAAGGTGTTGGATAAGGGCAACATTTGCTTATCACTGCTGGTGATTTGGGCATCGAAATGAGTTCCTGACCTTGGAGAGGCTGAATTTTCACTTGCTGTAGGGTAGGAGCACTTAAACTGGCCAATAGCAAGGATTCTGACATGTAGAATATTGTGGAGTGACTAGACTTTTCTTAGATTCCTTAATTTATTGTGTATTTTAAAAAATACAGTATGCCAGCACCAAATAGTGTTGTAGAGGTATCAGTTCTTTCAGGACAGCACATTCTGTGCTGTACTTAGGTTGAGGCCACGTTGCCTGAGTCTCCCTCCTTTGTGGAGAGACACTTAAAAGCACGTGGGAGTTGCTGCTCTAACCATAACTACTAGTAGTGCTGAGGATGTGTACAGAAATGGTTGTCTTGCACATTGCCCCTTAAAAGTGGCAAGACAAACTCCCTTTGGTAATTTCTGCAAGCTTTATCTAGGGTATTGTTCTGCAAATAATCCAGTGTTGGCCATTTTGCAAATGTTTTCTGTGATCCTTTCTTTGTTTTTCTCACTTAGCTGTGTAAAGACCTTGAAAAGTTCAGAAATGCAGTAGTGTACGATCTTTTAAGGTCTTAACAAGGAATCGGAGGCTGCCAAGCAAGAGAAAGTTAACAGCTATAGAAATCCCCTTAATTAGTGTGGTAATCAAGAAGCAAACTTAATGTTTTTCTGGTTTTGCAGAGCTAAATTTGTGGGTGAAGGGTGTTGTGTATTGTGTGGTTAACAGAACACAGTCCGTGTAACCCTGAAAGCTGGAAACAGAAGTCCATGAGCCTCAACCTGATAAAGATAGAGCAAGGAGGGCTGCTTGGGCTCTAGCTCCGAGGTTCACTACTTTCTCTGCCTTGTACAGCAGTCCTCTTTCTTCTGGTGCCTCGCTGGTGTGCCCTAGAAAGGGCCTGAGGATGTGGAAAATCAGACTGTTCCTCCTTGGTTTTTTGAAGATGTTATTCTTTAACCTAGGAAACTGGAACAGACCATCTTGCCTCATGGAATATGACCGTTTCTTTTATTCCCTGCTGATTTGGGGCTGAAACACCTATGCCTGAAACAGATCCTGCTCCCCCAGAGCACATTGGGGTTTTTTTGCTTGTGGCTTTCTTCATGGGACATGAGGAGATGAAGGGGAGCCATCTTTAGCTTGCCATAACCTTTGTTTCCCCTTGTGGGGATTTTATTACAATGACAACAGACAAAAAGAAAGGTCTTTAAACTTTATCCAGTACGTGCAGATTTAAATGGTGTACACTGACTGGAAGTTCAGTACCAGCATGTGAAGAAAATTGAGAATACATTGTTCTCAGTACTGATTTAAATAGATGTTTCTGTTTTCTTTTTTATAGCTTCTTCAACAGCTGAAGCGATTAATATGTGACCTCTGCAGATTATATAATCTTCCTCAGCATCCAGATGTTGAAATGTTAGATCAGCCATTACCAGCTGGACAGGTAAATCAAAAAGCTGTGGACACCTCCTTATGGCAATGAGGGAGTTGATTTTTTTCAACTCCAAGAAACGAGATGGTGGGAATGATTAAGCCTTGCCTAAGTCAGAACTGAGATGCGAAGCACTGTTGCTTTATAGTGTCCCAAATCTGAATTTTGCCTGCCAAATCCATTTAATAATAGTGCAATAATACTGCACAATTTACTTCAGACTTTCTGTGCCAATGCAAAGGTGTGTGTGTGATGCCAGTGCTGTCAGTTTAATTCCCTCCTAAATACTCTTCCAGCCAATCCCTGTACATTCCTACTGCTTCTCGATTTTACTTTCTTCTGAAATGCAAGTGTTACTAAACACCATTTGCTTTTGCTTGGAGAGTGGATGTTTTACAGTGTGCACTTGGTTGAACTCTTCTTGATGTTTTTCTTCCTTTTCAATCTCTTGCAGAAGCAAGGGATATCAAGCCTGTGTGTTACTTTAGGGGACAGGCAGTATCTGAGGTGCCTTGTTTACTTTTTGTGCAGTTGACAAGAGTGTGAAGGGCTGTGAAATGTTAACTAAAATGCTTGGTATTGCGTTGAAAACAGAACTAGCAACTGACAGTAACTGTTCTTTTTTCTGTTTTTAGTAAGATTTTGGTATCTTCTTTTGCTTATACATGTTAAGATGACATGATTTCTGAGAACTCCTGTAGCATAGCAGATGGTTTTCCTGTGGTGACAGTTCTATAGTAATGACAAATAACTTGCTTAATTTTGATCATGTGCCAGCCTGCAATCCTATAGGTCTTTTTTCTCTCAGCCACCCACATAGCAGTGCAACTGAAAGGTAATAGGCCTGTAATATTAGGAGAAGCTTCACTGAAGAGTCTGGCTTATGCTCTGAAATTCAAACCCGAGCTCACGGAAAGCTTCTTAGCCAGAAATGTCAGATAATCTGCAAGTTATATAAGAGTGGCCTTGGTAAATCAGACCAAAGATCCATCTAGTCATAGCATCATAGAATGCTTTGGGTTGGAAGGGACCTTCAAAGGTCATCTAGTGCAACTCCCCTGCAGTGACAGGGACATCTTTAACCAGATCAGGTTGCTCAGAGCCCTGTCCAACCTGACCTTGAATGTCTCCAGGGATGGGGCCTCTGCCTCCTCTCTAGGTGACCTGTGCCAGTGTTTCACCACCCTCACAGTAAAGAACATCTAATGCTTAACCTTAATCTACCCTGCTCTAGTTTAAAACCATTTCCCCTCATCCTCTCGGTACAGGCCCTTGTAAGCAGTCCCTCCCCAGCTTTCTTGTAGGCCCCTGTACCGGAAGGCTGCTATAAGGTGTCCCAGGAGCCTTCTCTTATCCAGGCTGAACAGCCTTTCTCAGCTTGTCTTTGTAGGAGAGGTGCTCCAGCCTTCTGATCATCTCTGTGGCCTCCTTTGGACCTGCTTCAGCAGGTCCATGCTCTTGCGTTGAGGGCTCCACAACTGGGCACGGCGCTCCAGGTGAGGTCTTACGAGAGCAGAGGGGCAGAATCACCTCTCTCAATCTGCTGGCCACGTTTCTTTTGATGCAGCCCAGGATGCGATTGGCCTTCTGGGCTGCAAGCGCACGTTGTTGGCTCATGTCCAGCTTTTAATCCACCAACACCCCCAAGTCCCTCTCTGCGGGGTTACTCTCTGTCACATCATCCCCCAGACTGTATTGATAACGAGGATTGCCCCAGCGCAGGTGCAGGACTCTTCCATTTGACCTTGTTGAACCCCATGAGGTTCCCATGGGACCACTTCTCCAGCTTGTCCAGGTCCCTCTGGAGGACATCCTGTCCCTCTGGCATATCGACTGCACTGCTCAGCTTGGTGTCATCTGCAAACCTGCTGCAGGTGCACTTGATCCCACTGTCTGCATCATTCATGAAGATATTGAAGAGCACTGGTCCCAGTATGGACCCCTGAGGGACACCACTTGTCACCCATTTCCATCTGGACATTGAGCTGTTGACCACAACCCTCTGGGTGCAACCATCCAACCGATTTCTTATCCACTGAACAGTCCACCCATCAAATTTGTGTCTCTGAACTTAGAGAGGAGGGTGTTGTGGGGGATGTTGTCATCCAGAGAGATGACATCCATCACTCTTCCCTTGTCCACTGATGTTATCACTCCGTTGTAGAAAGCCACGAGAGTTCCTGGAGTCCTCCTTTCTAAAAACGGACGTAATGTTTTCCTTCTTCCAGTCATGGGGGACTTCACCTGGTGGCCATGACTTTTCCAATGTCATGGAGAGTGGCTTGGCAACCACATCAACAAGAACTACTTAGCAAGAGCCAAGTAGTCCTCTGTGTTGTTTTACAGCAGTGCTGTTCCTTCTTTGTCAAAGGAAGAGTAGGCAGCGTATTGGAATGCTCCTGAATATTTCTGCAGCTCAGACTTCCTGAGGTCACCTGAAATGGAAAGCCATGAAAAATTAACTCAATGTATTGCTTTGGTATTTTGTTATATAATCTTATAATAATGGCTGTATGGTGGTAGTAGGTGTTACATGGAAGCGTTTGGTAAAAAAAGCAAAAATCTATTAAAAAAAAAAGGCAAAAATCTATTAAGTTTGAGAGGTCTACAGTTTGTGTTGGGTTTCCTTCTTTTTAGAGGTCTAGGATATATATGGATTCTAGTCAAAGCCAGGATGTGATTTCATGGTTTAAGAGGCGATGAGTTCTAACCCGCTTGACTTGTTCATTGCATTTGTCACTGTCTCAGAGTAGGATATCTGTATCAGAATCTTAAGTTTCCAATTAGAACTTAATGTAAAATTTGCTTCATGCAGAAATCTCTTCACTGTTACACAAAGGTGTTTTTCTGGAGTATATCTTCCACACGAAACTTTAGCAGACCTTGATAAGTTTAAATTTTGTATATGCTGCTTTCTCTTTTATGGTAGACTTCCTGTTTTTGAACAAAAGGAACATATGCACAATTTACGCAGAAACCTCTGTTGTATTGCAGAATGGAACAACAGAAGAAGTTACGTCAGAGGAGGAAGAGGAAGAAGATATGGGTGAAGTATGTGCATATATGAGATTGCTCACTTAATGTATTAGAATTTTGTTCTGCTGTTGCTGGTTAATTATTAAGCCAAACTGTAAAATGTAATCTCTATAGAGTTCAACAGAGAAAAAGAATTTAGGATTTGGATGTTTGCCTTAATGTCAGCTTTCACTTCAACCACAGAACTAGTGAAATTTTCTACTTAAACCTACAGCTGTGAGGTACTTGGATGCAGAGAACTGGACACGTGTTTGTGCTTTAGTCAAACATTGCTTAGCGCTGTGTGCCACATCGGTAAGTTTGCAGTGTTCACCCCTATTTCAAGCAGCATACGAGCTCGCTCTGATGAAGTTGAAAGTGCCTCCCAGGTTGAAGTGAACTGTCTAAGAGTGATCAATTCGGTTCAGTAGAGAGGTGAGCTAGTTTTTAACTGTCATACATTGAAGGAAATGGAAGGACATCTGAAAAGGGGTAAACTTCAGGGAGTTTATGTCACTGTCTGGCAGCATGGTGCTCCTTTCAATGAGCATTTAGTTGTGTGGGAAACACCCCTTTCAGTTTCTTCTACAGCATGTTAGAGTAGCTCCAAGGTGCTTGCTTTGTAAACCAGTATAAATAGCCTTTTTACAGGAGAACTGTGCTAACCACTTCAGATTTAGATTTTTAGCATGGAAGGTGTGCGGTAAAGAATGGACAACTCATTCTCTGAATAAAAGATCTTCTTTTAGTAAAGAATCTAAGTGTTACCCGTGTTCTGGAGTTAATTTGAAACATTCTCTCTTACACCACATTTAGCATGATTCAGACCATAATTATTGAAGCTGGAGCTTCAGTAAAGGTCGTGTGTATGCTCCCATATCCTGCTGCCACAAAGCTCTTGTTGCTTCCAGGCTTGTAACTAGGCTTTTGTACTCTGTTCAGATTACTTTGGCAAATTTTTTTTCCCCATGTCTGTCATTATTTGTAAGCTGTCAGGTGGCCTTGTTTGCAGCAGTGATCTTCAACTCGTAATTCAGTCCCATTTCTGAATTGAAAAGCAGCTTATGGTTCCTAGGGCCATATTGTTATTTTGAGAAACAGGAGCATTTTGAAGAATATTCTGTCTGCAGTTTGTTAGAGTTGGCAGAAACAGTGTTGTCAAAGGCACTAGATAGGTGTGTTTCTTACTATGTAAGACATCCTTGAATTTGCATTTATGGCCAGATTTTCCTTCCATGCGAACAGATGGTGCCTGAAGAGTAGCCACAGGTGTGGAGCATATCTGATGGTTTTATACTCACGGCTTGCTGGTGTGGCTGCTCTACTGCTTCCTGTTTTATCTCAGGATATTTACATCCTTCCCCTCCTTGTTGCTGTAAAGATGGCTGAGCAATTTTTACTGCCTTAAGAGGAATAAATCAGTCTTTCAGAGAATACTGCTTCAAGGATGGGAAAGGGCGGTGAAGAAATTTTCCAGCCGGATAGCAGAAGTAGTAGTAAGATAGGGTGTACCTAGAGATAGCAAGGAAACAGTTGTTTAGAAAGTTTTACTGAGCCATTTGTCCTTGGGAGTGTGTGGAACCGGACCTAAGTGGGGATTTTCTAGTCAAGATCCTCATTATTAGCTCAGTGGTTTGAGTGCGATGCTGACAACAATGACAACATTGAGGTCGCGGGTTCAATTCCCGCTCAGTCTCCATGTGTTACCTGGTCTAGTCGAGAGGTGGCGTCCCTGCCCATGACAGGGAGGTTGGACTAGATGATCTCTAAGGTCCCTTCCAGCCTAGGCCATTCTATGATTCTATGATTATGGAGATTAGAGGATGCCAAAATATCAAAAACTGTTTATGAAAGGCTGAAAATCAGGCAAAATTAAATGTGGCAGTGGGAGATCATGACCACTGACTCAATTCAGGGCACCAAAAACTTGCCCCCCATGCCCGCAAGGAGCGTGCATGCTAATTCACACGAGAGGTGAAGCTAATTTTAACATAATGAACTAAGAATGAATGTAACAGTTATCACTGACCAGTAATCTTAGAGTTAGTGGCAAATTAGGCGTATTTATACTAATAAGGTACAAAATAAATATGTTGCAGTTTTTCGATGTGGTGTGCTAGTTTTTGTCTACCATCCAAACTCGGCCAACTTTGCTAATAAACCAAAGTTGACTTTCTAAACTATCATTTTGTTTAGAGAGTCCTTTCTTTGCAGTTGCTGCTTTTGGCAACATCCTCTCCACAAATAGCACCTGAATCACCTTACAGGCAGTTGTCTTAAGCTCAAAGTGCTCCTCTGCAACAGGGTAACCTCCTCTCAGAATAAAGAGGGGAAGATTTTTCAGTGTCTTAGGCTAGAGCTCGGAACTGAAACGTTGGCTTGTGTGATCAGAATACCTGACTACATGTCTCATAGCCTAATTCCAAAAATGTTGCATCTAATCTTCAGCTGAAATGTTCACCTCGAATAAAGTACATACAGAATTCTAATATTTAACTTTCTTGAAGGGTTTCTGTAGCCCTGCCAGATATGTTAATCATTGTTTGCCAAAAGTATATTAGAGATAGGATTCTAATTGGAAAAAGTTTGCTTTTAGAAACATCTAGAGACAACCTAACTTTGGGTACTTTTGCATTCATAAGCCCTGTTCAAAATGCCTCAACCTCCTGTCTTCTACCTACGCTGATGGGCTAGTTCACTACAATCTTAACTTCTTGCAGAGATTTTTAATGTTCTTATGTCTGTGACCAGAAATACATTGCATTTGGGTCTCATTTGTATTGCGAATGCTCCCTACACTTCCACTGAATATTACTGGCTGAGAGAGTGATGTTAGAGCAAAACAGAAATGACATCCAACACTCACATAGTGCTGTGCAGTCTATGACTATATCCCTAAATGCTGTTGGAGAGGGTATCTTTGAATACAGAGCATAGTTCTTTACAGTGAATTTTCCTCTATCCTGTAGGACATCGAAGATCTGGATCACTATGATATGAAGGAGGAGGAACCAGTTGATGGGAAGAAATCTGAAGATGAAGGCATTGAAAAAGAGAATCTTGCAATCTTAGAAAAAATCAGAAAAAATCAAAGGCAAGATCACTTAAATGTGAGTTAATAATTTACATTTTTTTCTCTGCAATACTTCTGGCTTTAAGGTGGAAATGGTTTTCAAGAAACAGAGCCTGCTGCTGTACACCTAGAGATTAATTAATCTGTAGCTGACTTCCAGCATATATAGGACAAACGCCTCAAGTTGTGGGAACTTAAATAGCTCTTTTTGGAGAAATTCGAATAGGCCAAGGTCATTTAGTAAATGAACTCGTCTTGCATCAGAATCTTTGGCGCAGGAAGTTAGTCAGTCCACGTCCCAGAGAGCCACAAAAACTACTTCCAAGCACTCTGGTTCAGCCTGGGAGAATGCCGTCATAATGTGTTTTGTCAAACTGGGTTGAGGTGTTCGTGGCATTTTGGATGAAGAAGCGTCATTTGGCTTTTCACTAGATTGAGCTCTTACATCTAAATCCGGCTTTCACACTTAATGATATTTACCTGCTAGTCTAATTTCCAGAGGTATCTGCTTGGTTGTCCCTCTGTCTCTTGCTTGATGCTGTTGTGATCAGTAGTCCTCCTTGCAGACTCGGCATAAAACCTCTAGGTTGTAAAGCATGATTTCTGTTGCTGAACCCTTACTAAAATAACAAATAAAGCTGTATATAAAACTGACTGCATAAAAAAAGTCATAGTGACTTAACATACTTGGCACACTCAGGCATTTGTGCTTTAAATCTGTTTTCTGCATGACTTTGTTTTTCAGTAATGTCTGCACTGTGTGGAAATTACTGAAGAGTCGTTTGGTGTGGGTTTTTTTCAGACATAAAGCAAGGGGCCTTCAGCAGCTCTGCAGCTTTATGAGCATGGCTTTCTGAGGGATCCTGCCAGCAGGCAGTTGTAAAAAACCTGTTCTCCAGAGGTTTAGAAATGTTTTGTCACAAGTGCCATCTTTCAGAGAAGCTTCTGTTTCTCAAAGGTGTGTGTAGGAGGGAATGATGATGTCATAGAATCTTAATTTTATTTAGACTGGCTTCCAAAACAATAAAAACTTCTGTTTCGCAAAGGCATATAATGGGTAATGCATGAAATTCACTGCTTCTCTTCATGACCAATTTCAACCTAAGGTAAGGATTCTAAAATTTTCCAAAGTCACCTGCACAGAAAGAAGATACTTGAACTGGTGCCCACTACTTTGTGAGCTCGTAAGTTTGGGGTTTTTTATGTACTGTTTGACAAGTCAGCAGATGAATAGATCATGTCCAGACACAAGATGTGCCATTTTTCATTAAGCTAATAGTTGAGAATATGAGCAGTAGTTACATAAAGGAGAGGGACCTGTAAGGATTTAGGAAAGAAATAGGATTTAGGATTGGTATGTAGGGAACACCTGGATTTTTATCTAAGGAACTAGCTTTGTTCTAGTTCTTAGTCTTGATGATTTTTCCAGTAAATATTTTCTAAAAAGCTTAAGTTGCACTTAGAAATTACATTAAAGATAATTGCTGTTGTAAACTCCTTTTGATTTGTAGTGAGAGCTATATACATTCAAAGGGCTTGTTTAATCCTGACGGGTGTAGCTATTTTAAGAATTTAGGGGAAAAAACTTCTTTAGCTATCAGAATCTTGACTGTTTATTGTCATGAATTACTGGCCTAAATAACTTTAGTTTACAAAAAGACCTTTTTCTTCTTAATTACTGACACTTTAATGTGGAAGAGAGTTTCAAATTATAGCCATCTGCTTTGCAAAAGACGTATAATAGAAATGCTAACCATGACAAACCAAACAAAAAAAGCCCGAACGTGATCCTTTCAGTATTTAAAGGCAGGTAAACAAGGTGCCACACTGCTTTTTGCTGTGAAGTCTGTTTTAAAATTTAACTAGCCATAAACACAGTGGTCACTTACTGGTGTGGGTGGGTTTTTTGGTTGTTTGTTTTTTTTTTTTAAACTTAAATATTTGTTCAGAATTGAGAAGATTCCTGTTGCGGTTCTGTATATTTCTGTGTTTATAATTCAGATGTAATGGTGAAAACTGATGAATTGTTAAAGAAAATAAATCCTCTTGCCTGAGTGGCAGGATCATCTAAAAATTTGGTAGAACAAGATTTTTGTAGTGTCAATATTCTTCCTTGGTGTGGAAAGCCTCTTAAAACTGCAGATTTTCTTTTGTAATCTGTTCTTTCTCGTTTGGCAAATACTGCCTTTCCTTTTGCTTTTTCACTCTGCATCTAGTGGAGCTGAAATGAACGCTGCTGTGTTTTTTTGTTTGACAACAGCAGATTCAACTTACATAATAGCTGTTTCTCATGCCAAGACAGTCTCGTTGATGCTGATGCATAAACAAGGTCAGCTGAGTCCAGGGAACAGGGTATTCAACTGCTGCTGAGGAACTGTGGTATTTTTGTGGGTCACTAGAAATAGCTGTGCTGCTTACATCAGCTCTCAAAGGACTTGTGAGGGCTTACTCCTAAGTGCTTGAGAACTGAAAACTGCAGCCGCGCTACTGACCTGGGAAGGAGCTAACCTAGTAGCACCTAAATGCCCCTCAACGCTGCCAAAACGTGGGGCTTTAAATAGAACACATGAAACGTGCTCTAAGATAGCAGAAACTCACTCGGTATGCTAACATGGTGCAAAACTTAAACCTGTACAGCCGTTCACCGTGGATTTTCTTAAAGGACAGTATGAGTTTCACGAACTTCAGTGTAGTGGCTGAACATATTCTGCTTTTCACGCAAACAGCTCTTGGCACACCTTGTTTCCTCAGGAGGGCGGAACAAAGCCATGCCACTGACATGCTTCTTGGTGGAAGAGGGAACGCAAAGCCTGATGTAGGCCTGTGACTAGTGCCCAACGCAGCCTGAAGGCTTTTCAGTTTCTTCACGTATTCTTCGTCCCAAATCCAGAGGTCACCCTCTCTTCTCATGGTTGAGATGCAGGTTGAAGTTACAGGTCATGCTAAAGGTTTTTCCCTAGGGAGAGGACTGCATGCAGTCCCATTTTTGCATATTCCTAACAGATTAAGATAGTTTTTTTTTATTTCTCCTGCTCAAGGCTTTTGTTACAGGAGTTTTTAAGGTTTGTGTATTTTATACAAGTTAGTATGTATCTACTAATTTTGTAGAAGAGTTTTCTTCCTTGGCAGCATCCCTAATCCTATTCTCGCTGGCATCAGGAAATAAATGTGGCTTGCAGTACAGTATGTAACTTGGAGCAAGAATTAATCCTCCTCTTAACATTGTAATGACTTTAAAGAACCACTTGCTTGCTGGGAGTAAAAAAGATCTTTGAACTGGAATCATTAACTTCAAATATTTAACAACTTGCTGCTGCTTGCTTTTCAGAGGTTCCTCCCCGCAGTCATTTTAGAGATTAGTGCTTTTCTTATTTAGATAATGCTATTAGCTTTTTCCATTTCCGACTGAGGAGTTTATGCACTTTCCTTTAGAAGTCTCAAATGTCTCCACTTTCATCTTCAGATTTTATGGAGTCTAAGGTGTCGTTTCCATTTTCAGTTTAATCCTTGAAGTAAGTACAAGTCTACAAACTTCCAGGAATGTACTTCAGCAGAAATGCTGAGAAATTGTCACTGAGTGACAGTAGAGCAAAATTGTGTTTAGGTCTTTTGGGGTCACTTTAGATATTACTTTATTATCTTGGAGAAGTTTCCAGCTTCGTGTGTATTATGTGACAAATACCTGTCAGATTCTATGGTTGACCACTTATTTCTAAGGCAGTTGTGACTATAAGTCTTGATGTCACAACTGAAGAAATTGGAGCTTTATCTCCCTTGGAGTGGCAAGTTGCACGTGTCTAGAAGGATTCTCAAGTTATTTATATCTGAATTCAGTCTTTGAAATTATAACTTGCATGTAGTGAAAGTTCAAGTTTTTAGTTTTATTACCTTTACAGTCAAAACTGAACTCACTGCTCTACTCGATCACGCAATGGTGTGATGCAGGTAGTACTCTCTTCTAAACTACACTTTAATCGTAGTTAGAGAAAACCCCAAAGTGACACCAGAATGAAGACTTTGATTTCATAGCAGTGGCGTTTGGCATTAAGGTTACCATCAGGCACAGCGGTTAATCTCTGCAGGCTTTTTTTTCAGCTTGCACCAAGGGTAGTTCAGAGCGTGCAAAGTAAGCTCCTCTGCTAAACTTCTTAGGTTAAGCTTGCAAGCCTTTTTCTTTGGATCATAGGTTACTGGTTTGCAGTCTGTCAATTCTTTAGAGTAGCAAGTGTAACTATAATACTGCTGTGTAAGGAATGGGCAGTCCAGTGCTGCTCTGTCTTAAGTAAACTGAGAAATTACTTGTCTGGAACCCTGTTTTTATGTAGCTTTTGTTTAAGCACGTGAAAGGAGTTGCCTTTTATTTGCATATTTAATTACAAAGTTCATTAGTCATACTCGTCTGTTAAGAAACACTAGTGGAATTTTCAGTAATCTGCATAATAAAATCCAGTGGAATATGAAAATGAATAGCCTAAAAGAAAGGTCTACAGAGTGCGGTGTGAAGCTAAGCATATTTTATGATGCCACTGACAAAGAGGCTTTAGCATCAAGTAACTATTACTGATATTTAATCCTTATTAAGAAACAATTTGATCCTAGAGTTAACACCTTGTAGAATGTATAATGTCACTGTTGACTGCAGGCAAACAGGGATGTTGTTTCAGGTATTAGAGAGTGGTTGTAGGTGCTTCAGATTCCTCCAGAAATACTTCTCTGATACCTCTGTCCAAAAAGGATCTGTTTCTAGATGTTCGTAGTGTCTAAAAGGAAAACTGAAGGAACACAGCCCTTCACGTTTTCAGATGGATTAGAAAAACAGACCCACAAACTCTTCGTTCAGGACCTCATATAGAGAGGCTGAACTGAACTTTGTCCTAGGCAGGGGCTTTTTTGTGTTTGGTGGCGTGTTGTTTGTTTTCCCACCCCACTCTGCCTGAACCAGCACTTAGGAACAGGCTGTATTTCGGTGGGAGGGACTGCAGTCCGGTCAGCAGCAGAGAGCTGCGTGGGTTTCATGAAATAATCTCTGCCTTTGGGAAACTGGCTGCCGGTGACAGCCAGAGTTTCACAGGGTTGGGGTTTGGGGTGATAGCTCCCTTACATATTTGGAGTCCTCATTCCTTTTTCGTATTTTAAATCTTGTAACCTGAATTTTTATCTCTGTTTTCTAAGAATTTTGAAAGTAAAGTGGTATTTCAGGTGGAATATATAAGCAGTGTAATCATGTAACATCTAGAGTTTAATGTCAAAATCTTTCCTGCTAGCTTTGGCATTGAATTGGAGAGAGTAATCTAAGTACTTGTGGTGATCACATTATTCTGAATAAGCACTTTAATTTTGTAAGAGAAAAAAGTTCTCTCTTCACTTTAAAGCTCAGAAAATCGAGGCAAAGTTAATACCAAAGTCACAGCACTGTCAGCGTTGGGGATGTGTGCAGAATACATCCAGTGGAGCAGTTGTTGATACAAGTAGCCCTCAGTTAATTAGTAGTTAGCGCATTTATTAATTCATTAAAAACTGGTGGTTTTTAGAGCCAGTTATATTGTATATGCATGCCACTTAAAAGTATCCTTTTTCTTTTTCCTGTAGCATTGTGTCTTAGGCTGAACTATCAGGTTCAGAACTTGCATGCTAAGTTTTCTGTCACTTTGAGATGCTGAGAAGTACAGAACTGAGCTGTAAAAGAGTAGGAGAGATTTCTGCCCTGGTTGCATAGACTGCAAGAACTATGCAAAATCACAACAGAGAATTTGGTATTTTGAGGTTTACTTACCTTAGTCTTCCTCAATGTAGGTGTTGTCAATACCTCCCAACTCCTGTACCTTTTTTGACAACCAAATAAAAATGTACTGCTGAGAAAACAGTCAAACCTTCTGTGCGGAAGCTCATTCTTAGGATTAGTCTTACTCTTCCTTTTTTATTACGTAAGAGCAGAAGTAAAAGGAGATTTTTCCATTAGAAATGTAGTGTGGATTCATCTTGGAAATCAAAATGCCAAAGCAATTAAACTCCTTTATAGAAAAAATGTCTGTTGTACCTTGATTAAAAGTTTGTATCATCTGTACCATGTGCTGCTTTAGAGGGAATGTCTTGTTTCTTTTAAGGAGTCTTTGCTCACTAGAATATGTAACTTTTCAAAAACCTAATACTAATACAGAAGTTAAAATATTAGTTAGTGTAATTTTGTAATGGAAGTAAAGCTGTTTGATGCAAATACTACTTTTCACTTAGCATCTTTTTTGTTTGTTTCAGGGTGCGGTCTCTGGGTCAGTTCAGGCTTCAGATCGACTTATGAAAGAACTCAGGGATATATATAGATCACAGAGTTATAAAACAGGTAAAATGCTTCAGATTTCCTTTCTTAAAAAGCCCCTTAAAAGAATTGTCTTGGCAAATACTTCCTTCTGTGTTTTGTTGTAATATGTATGTATATACATCTCTGTGTGTGTGTATGTGTATGTATGTATGTATAAAAAATAAAAATACAGATACAGGTACTTACTTAAATTTCATTACATAAAATAGCGTATTTGTGGAGGGAAAAGAGTTGGAATACATATAGTCTAAAATGTTCTTGCTTTTTGTTATGCAAAGCTTTGTAGGGTCGGTGTAACTGCGAGAATGCTCTTGGGGTAGATGACTACAAAGAGCAACTCAGGATTACTCCTGTGGGACTGTGGGATTTCTTGAGTTTTCAGAGCTACCTGAAATTCAGCTTTCCAGATACATAGGGCAAAAGGTTTGACCACTGCCAGTGGGTGGTACTGCTTACAAGAATATGCTTGCCGTAGAGGTATTTGTGTTCAACAGCAGAAAGTTTTGTTATTATACAGAAGTTAACCTTAATTGCACTGCTGTTACTCGTATTATTTTGTGATAGTGTTAATCTGATCCTGAGCACTGTGTATTCCTTGGAATAAGGATACAAATGGCAGTAGAAAAGAAACTTGTCTTTTAAATTTGATTGAATAACAAACACTGATTAGCTTTTAGGTATGTAAGTGGTTGGCTGTTCTATTTGCTCTGTATAAGAGCTGTATCTAAGCCAGCTGGGCGAAGGAATCAGTATATTGAGTTGTCTGTTACCAGACAAGAGAAAGAAATGAGGTGGGTTTCAGGCAAGTTTTACTCCTGTTAGCTGACAATTGAGTCAGCTGTTCATGACTGAGTAGACAACTCCATCACTGCAGCCAAGTATGAGAACCTGTGGCTGGCCATGGTGGGAACAGGAGGAATGCCACTTAGAAAGTCAGTGTAAGCTATAATCCTTTATCTTGTACTTTTCTGAACTTCTCCCTTGGTTTATTTCTAGTGGACATAAATCTTAATTGCTGGCTGCGGCATTTTAATTTGTGTGTAAAAGGACAGACTTGAAGAGACCGTAGGCTCCTGTTTTGATTTGCTGTATGTAAGGATATAGCGGAAGATGGACGAGGAGGACTGTAGGTACGCTCAAGTGACTTGCACCCGAGGTGTCGGAAAGCACAGACATCACACTGGATTACTGCTTGGGCCTGGGTGCTCGACAAGCAGCACACCCGCGCTGAGATAACAGGGGCCTGGGATAGACGCGGGGGCATCTCTCACTTTGCTGCCCTCAAAGCTGTCCTGTGAGTCCTGGGAACTCAGGCAGAGCAGCAAGTAAAACACAACAAAGCAGTGGGATAAATACCCCTCGCCTTGTGGCAAGGAGAGACCTCCTTGTGCCTGCGCCGCTGCTTGTGTGACCGCTGCCTGCGGGCCTCATCCGGGGGCTGCTGCAAAGATTCCTCCGATTCTCAGGTAGCCAGAATAAATCTACTCTTTGCATTTCAGTCGGGGTTTGTGGTTGTTTCTGCATCCTGCCTGTTTCAGCCCACACACCATATTTACTTTTAGGGTGGTAAAATGTCTGAAATATGAATTTGATTAGGTAACGTAGCACTTATCTAATGTAGTCTACTACTTCTTTTAAGCTTTATTGTAACTGAGTGCTTGCTAGTATGGCCTGATCACCATCTATCCAATAAAGAGTGGATTACTGGGTCTAAGGAGGAGCCTAGAAATAGATCTGTATTAAGTCTTGAGAGATACTTTACTGCTTATGTATGAACTTCAGGGTTCATTTTTGTGGTTAGAAGAAAGACTGGGTAAAGCAAATCTGCTTGACAGCAAAGACTGTGTAGTGTTTAATCAGGTAGTGGTACTGCTTGAGGCACAACCAGGAGCCCCTGCAGTAGGTGTAGTTGGAGATAAAGATTTAGGTTGCTTAATAATGCCATTTCTTGGTTTTAGATTAATAGCAAATCTTCACTGGTTGCAAAACACTGATGTAGGAAAGGATGCTATAAATGATGAGGAAAATTAAATTTTGCTAAACTAAAGAAAGTTGAGATAACTGAAGGGTGAGTATAGTAACTCATTAGGTTATGACTCAGGAATGTGTAAAAACACTGCAACTGGATGCCTCATGTTAATATCTAAAATATGATAGTAGGGTAAAGTGTCAGGTGGGGGTTGACACTACAAAAGCGATGGCAGTCTTGCTTTGAAATACAGTCCTACTGATACATCTGTTAAATTTTGGGAGTACGTGATGTTGGTTGTTACAAAACTTACCTAGATTTATTCCTGATGGCTTCATTTAGTCTTAGGACTTGAATGAATTTAAGTATTGGTTCCTCTCCCTGGCACAAAACTGCCTTTATCGCCTAGTTCTGTCTTCTTAGGTAACTGTCACCATGTGAGCGGGGGCATGGCACATATTTGGCTTTTTTTAATGTGATCTTTGTTGTGAGTACCTGCTCCATGGTTCATTTTCCTCATAACTTAATTTCTAACTATTAACACATAAAGGGAACCATTGTGAAACTAAAAGGTTCTAGTAGTTGTTGCAAGGTAATTTAACACTGCTTTCAGGTTTTTGTAATACAAGTCTGAAAATCTAAGACTGCTTTTTAGTTGCATAAGGGTTGCATTATATAGTGTGTGTGAGGTTACCTGTTTTCAGGATTGACAATAGGGACAACACTAGGACTTCTGAAATAAATAAGACTTGTAGTAATAGTCTTTTAAATTTGTTTCTGTTAAATGCTGCTTTTTTATAAAACAGTTTAAAAACACTGTCAGGACCACAACTATGGGTCTGTATTCAAGGCAGTATCCGTTTTAGAATTGAAATTCCTTTAGTGATTGAAATATTACTCTTGGAGTTCAGGTAAAAGGTGACTACAAGCTTGCTGTCAACAGGAAAGTTGCTCATCTACTTGGAAAACCTAGGAGAAGAACTACTCTTAAAAACAAACAGAAAACCATTTTCTTAGCAGCTAGCAGAAGGAAAAAATACTCCACTAAATAAAGGTATTCTGCTACAAATTCAGCAGAGTTTCGTTAACCTGTGTTGATAACAGGAGTCCTCCAGATATGAAGGTGGAGGTTCAGTTGGTTCATATGGAAGAAATCACAAAGGCCTTCGCATAATTGGGAGAATGGGGAGGGAGGGAGGGAGAGGAACAGAGAATATTGAGATATTAAATGAAGTCTTCTCTGTTCATATGTAGTGACTTCAACTCACTACTTCTATTCAAAGACTGTATGGGATTTACTTCTAGTTGTAGTAAGGTTGCTATAACTAAGACATTGCTTCTGTTTTGGAAGGAGTTGTTTTTCTCTTTTCATCTCTTAATTTCTGGCTTGCTTCATGGTTCTGTGTGCTTTTACTTCATCACCTCTAGCGATGGCCTCTTAGAGGAATAAAACAAAAAACCTTAATTCCCTTCTTCACATTAAGGACCTTTCAGAAACTTATACTAATCAGATAAATTCTTCTTGACAGTGATTTTTTTCCCCCCTCTTACTGCTTACATTAATAAAAGAAGTACATGAGCTTTTTCCAAATAACACCTCTTGACTATTAAAAACAAACAAGTGAAGCTGCCTCAGCTTTGGGTAGTGTTAAGCTTCTTTATCAAGACAGTGAGCAACCCTGCAGCTGCTGCTGTTCATGAGGACATACAGATACTATTCAGCTCAAAATCTGGGTGCTTGGAAGATTGGTTTAAGTAGCTTGCTGTTCTGTTAAGGTGCGTTCTTGTCAACCCTGAGCTGTGCGCGTCTCTCTCAAGAACCCTTTCAGAACTTCTGGTTTAGGTGCAGTACAGCTCTTAAGACTAGCAAAAATTGTTCGGTTGGGGAAACTGGCGAAACATGCAGGCTTTGATGCTGAGGGATGGATACGTGAATTTCGGTAAAAGCAGGGCTTTTAAGGTGATGGCAGGGATGCAGGAATAGGGCGAGAGGCTTAGAGAATAAACAAGGTGATGGAAATTCTCTTGTGATCTCCTGTTGCTTGGGCTGTTGGCAGAATCCATACTGTAACTCGTTCTGTTGTCTGTAACAAATATTTTATACTCGTGCTAGGTGCCAAAGCCAAAGTAACGAGAGGCTGCTTCTTCCAGTCTTCAGTCCCTTTTGGATGTAGGTAGAAGAAAATGTTCTCAATACAACAGTGGAATAAATTCATCATTAATGGGAGTTGACAACGAGCAGAGTTCTGAATGTTAACTCCTTTTGTTACATACAAATCGAAATTCTTATAATTCTGCTTCCTCTAAGAGCAGTTCAGAAAATAGGGTATTTGGATGTGGAAAATTGAGTAAAGAACTTCTTAGCCCCTGCTGTTCATCCTTGAACAGAAATGTGTGATATCTCTGAACCAGCTGCTGATTAAAAAGGACCTTGAGAGCACAGTGATAAGTTTTCAGGTCTACTGTGTTGTCCTAGACTTAGAAAAATTTGAAATCAAGATCTTGGCTGCAGTACCCACTTGTTTGTGGCACTGTGGTAAGGAAAATCAAGCGTAGTTTCTTCACCTTCTTTGCTAAGTTTTGGAATGCTTTAGAAACAGGTGTCTGTACAGATTGAAGTGGCATCCGTTCCCCCAGGTACGCTTAAATTTTTATCTGCAAGATAATGTATTCTAGAATAATGAAACTCAGCAGTGAATAGTGTAATTCCTTGGAGAGAATGTGGTGCCAGCAGTCTATTGGTTGTTCAGCCTTCAGAAATCCTAGGCAGATTCCTGATTTGCATATATCTTCCAAATAATTGTGTCAGCAACAGATACGCCGTTAAATATTAGCCCAAGTGTTTAGCATGTATACATGAATAGTCTGGGGGGGAAAAGATCAGACTTTGAAAATCCCTGATAGCACTTTCTAAGTCTTACCTGATGGCTAAAGTTTTACTGCTTTTTTCCTGAGCTGCTTGTGAACCTCTGCAGAGAGGCAGCTTGAATAGACAAGAAAACTGCAGATAACCCTTCATCCTTCCCTTTGAGTGAAATGCATAACTATTATTTAACATGCTTAAAACAAAATAGACTGCTGAAAATCACCAGCTGGCCTCCAGAGATGGGTATTCTTTCAATGCATCTTTCTGGCTGCTTTGGTCAGCTGTTGGGAATGTGCTTCATTCAATGCAGTGCCATCTTTTTTGGGAGATTTCCACTCCATACAGTGTCCAGTCCTTGTCTGCCGTTACTGACGAAAACCCGTGAAGTACAATGCTAAAAATGCAGACTGTGTGTTAAGAGTTTTAAAGGCATGTTGGCCATGTGCTGAGTGTAAAGCATACTGAGTGCTAAGCAAGCTGGAGTTGCAGCTGTGAAAAGTTTGAAGAGGAATTGGGAGGGGGGAAGCTGTTACAAGTCAGAAAAGTATTTAGATTCACGTGGACTTTTTTTCACAGAAGTGAAACACTTCTTCCTTGTAGTTGCTCAGAAGTACTTCTGCTGTTGGAGGAAGGATGCATCTCAGTATCTTACCAATTGCTTACATCTACTGACAGTGTTTGTACTTAAAAGTGAAGAAAGCTTTTGCTAAACTTTACCTTGTTAAACTTTTAGTGAGTAATTAATTCTATATATTTCTACAGGTATATATTCAGTGGAACTGGTAAATGACAGCTTGTATGAATGGCACGTTAAGCTTCTAAAGTAAGTTACTGAAGTCTTTTTCATGTTCTGAAGAATCTGTATTATTATTGCTGCAGAGATTCTCAGTTGGATAAATGAGAAGCCTTAGCAGGAGTGCATAAAATGTTGTGTGATGGCTACAATTCTGGTATACAGAGATGCGTACAGAGGTTGAACTGTAGTGTTTGAGCTTTGCATAGCCGACACAGTGCTTATTACAGTAGCTTTCGTTACTGTTCAATTCTCAAAACCCTAAATGATGAAATATTTTGTCTACAGTTTTTGTACACATGGGTTTTTTTTAGTTTTGTTTTTAATTTCAAGAAAATGGAACTTTGAGTTTAATTCAAGATGTAAGAAGAAGCCGAGCTGTCTTAGTGTCGTTAATTCTTCTATAGTTGAGCAAACACATAGGACTGAAACTTTTAGGTATAATGTAATTAGGACTTACGTAACTTATTTGTCTTCTCTTCTGTACTGCTTTTCACTGTGTGTACTAGATGATAACTTGTTGTGTCCATAGTCCAATAACTTCAGTTCTAGAGGTATTACATTGAAATTATTCCTGGTAACAGGATCATCTGCCATCATTCTACCAGATAACCTGTAGGAAGGAAAAACCTTTCCAAACTAGGCTGGGTGGCTGCAAAAGATGGCAAAGGATGAAAGAACTTCCACGAGTTCAGATATGTCAGGATGAATAAGGACGTAAGCTGTTTCAGCACGGTAGTTGACCTGCCGTAGGAATTGTTGCCTTGTCCTAGTGGTTAAGACTTGTAGGACTGTCACCAGCTGCTGAAACAGTTTTCTTTCCTTCTTAGTGTAATTCTAGGCATGTGAATGTTTTGAAGCTGAAACTGGTAGGAATGATGTCTACCAGAAAAATCTGTGCCATGTTGCAGGATGCCTTGCCTATAAAGTGCTTCTGTAACAAAGCGCTCAAACTGCTGTGCGGCATCTTGAAACCTCTTTTCAAGTGCTGCGAACAGGTTGGATTTTCTGCCTTCCACAAAGAAGCAAATGACTTCCAGAATGGCTGAGAGAAGATAAGAAGTATTGCGTTTGTTTATCCCAGCAAAAAGCATCTGAAAACAAATGAACTGTGTGCAGACTAGTTGAGGGGGTAAATGTTGGAGAGAAAAGAGCCTGTTCTAAGGAACAATATTGTTACTAGAACAAGTAACTCTGAATTGCCCTACTACAAGCTATGGCTGGAAATGATAGGTTTGTAAGCACTGGGAGATTTTGTTCCGAAACAGCTTCCCATAGGTGGGATGGGGACAAACTGCTCAAGCAATTCTGAAATGAGCTCTAATAAGTTTGCGGTTTCGCCTGTAGCATGCATGCTTTTGGCTTGCCGCAGGCGTTTTTTGATTGGTCTCTGGAGTGTCAGGACCTGAGTGGGATTTACCCAGTAGTGTTTGAATTAATGTCTAGGCGTTTTGCAACGTGCTGAGCAGAAGCTGCTGGCTTCAGTACTTTTGCTAGTGGCCACTACTTTTAGCAGCTGATACAGAACTGTGATCAGATAGTCCATAAAGGATTCACTAACTGTGCACTGAAAACTAGAGCTCTGCAGTCTTCCTGTTTTTTTCCACTCTTCATGGAACGTACATCTCCAGTGAACTGAAGAGAATCAAAGTTGCTGTTTTCAAATAAACAGGTTATTTTATGCTAAACATGTTCAAGTAACACTTGATAGCGTTGGGAATGTATGCATTGCATAGCTTGCAGTGATCTCGCAGCAAAGCTTTTACTTTGTAAAGGGAGCAAGAATTTTCTACAGTGCACCTTAAATTACACTTTGTAAACTGAAAATACATAAAGGAGCTCTCTAAGAGTAAGTACTGTTTACAGACAGTGAAAACATTAACTTCATCTAGGATCTCGCCCCTGCTTCTTTTTATAGAGTTGATCCTGATAGCCCGCTGCATAGTGATCTTCAGGTCTTAAAAGAAAAAGAAGGTGTAGAATACATTTTACTCAACTTCTCTTTTAAGGTATGTGTCTGTGGGAAGAAATGCTGTAATTAAATTTGTAGCTTACTGTAGAAAGTGTCTGGAATGACTGTCAGCTATTACTTGGGTAAAGATGGAGCTGTGGCATTTAAAAGAAAATCAAAAAAAAAAGTCAACTTTCAACTTGGCACTTAAGCTTCGCAAAAATTGCTTTTTAGCCAGTGCTGTGGAAAAGTGACTTTTATAGAACTGAACAATTTAACTGTTTTAAATGCAATTTGCCAAATAAGGCTGGATAGGAATACAGTTTCACAGTATGTTTCATAACATGTTTTCTGTTGCTCTCTTCAGGATAACTTCCCTTTTGATCCTCCCTTTGTGCGAGTGGTATCTCCTGTGCTGACGGGAGGGTAAGTTTCACTTGCCTTACACAGATTTTACTTTGTGATAGAAATGTTACAACTTGAGATTGGTTGGCTGTGTTTGCAGAGACTACCATGTAGACTTCAAGAAATTTCTACTAAACATAGACAGGAGCTGCTGCAGACCTTGAGTTGGGTAAAGAGCTCAAAGTGGGATATGGCAACTTGGTTCTCAAGCTTGTATGAACTGGCATTAGGCTAACAGTCAGATGCAGTTCTTCATGGAATTGCTTAGTGTGTGTCTGGCATGGAAAGACCTGTGCCTGCTTCGTTGTTCAAGAATTGGCTTCTTTGTGCATCACTGTTGTTACTTCTCTCCTATTGTGGGGTGTTTTGAGTTGGTGCTTTGAAGGGATTCTTGATCCCTGTGTTGCCTTAAATTTTCTGTGCAGTCTTAACTGACTCACTAGTAACGCTGCCATAAAGTTTTTGTCTGGAAACTCCTCAAATGCTAATCCAAAAATACTAAATTTAATTGACACTGTGCTCAAAAAATCATCTAAATCATGTTTGAAGAGCTATCCATGGCATGGAAATTTGTGTATTTCCATGGAGAGAAAATGAACTTCACTTTCCAAGGCTTTTATACATCTCTTGCTGACAGGAAATTATACCTGTACATTTGAAAATGCAGTCTGTGGTAGCTTGTGCTGATGCTGATGTGATTTTAATTGCTATGTGCCTTTTCTGCAGTCAAGAAATGGTTAGTCCAGTTCAGTAGTGTTCCTGACTGTTGCTGCTACTGAAACGGTAAACAGTGCCAGACAACAGGAAACTCATTTGGATTCTAGTTTTGTTGTGCCTGAACTTCTGGGCCGTTCTTTCTTTCATTCTACAGAGGTTTTCAGTGATTGTTTCCCTGTGAATGTTGTACAGATGTACATTGTTTGAATGTCTGGATCATAAGGGAGACTACATTTTCGGAGTGGTAAATTCTATGCCCTCGGTTCTGGTTCTGTGATGACCAGGCGTTCTGGCTGCTGAGCCCCGCTGTGACTGCAGCACACTGCGTGGTGAAGTGTGGCTGAAATTAGAAAGTGGTTTATAGGAAAAGGGCAAGTGAAGATGTGCTTTATCTCGTATCCCAGATGTAGAGGTGCACCTACATTGTCTGGAATTATGTACGATCTCTTTGCAGAAGTGGTTTAGTTTTTTTTATAACTGTGTGCCCGTACTACGTATACGTAGTGTAGCCGTGACAAGCAGCCTTCTTTGCATGGTCTGTGTACAGTTGTGCAAACAGTTGTGCACATTACCTTGGTCACTGATTTTAACAAAGTGTGTAGCGCAGGTATTTTTTGGTGGGGGGGAGTCTCCCAGTGCTTACCTTCTTTGCATCACTATAGTATGGCTAACTCGTTACAGTACATTAGTGGTTAAAGGACATTTCAGCTTTATGTGAACAAAAAAAATGACAAACTAGCCTGCAGAAGCTTAAAGTGCTGTGAACAGCTTCATGTTTTTACTAGCTGCTGGTGTCAGATATGTTTTCTTTCATGTTTGTTTCTAGGTATGTCCTAGGTGGAGGTGCATTATGCATGGAACTTCTTACTAAACAGGTGAACACAGTTACCTGAATAATAACAGAGCATGTGTAAAATAATGAAAATAGGTTTCCCCTCAGTTGAAGAATCCCCGTGGGAAATAAATTACACACTCCAAAGGGAATGTGGTGGAATAAACTTCAGTCTCACAAGATTTGCCTTGCTGACCTTGTGTCAGGTCCTCTTTTCTGCCTTGGATGGCTTGCAAGAGGTCTGAAGAAGAGGCAAGAAGTAAGAGCACATCACCTTTGAATTCTCAGAATTTCTGGGAGGAAGCCAGTTTAAAGAGTGAGTTCTGAGGAGCAAGACATTGTTTTCTTTTCCAGAAGCCTCTGCTACTGCATGAAGTCAGCTGTGGAGAAGTGAGGAACACAGGAGATTCTAGGCATAGATGACTCTTGTGTAGGCAGAGTGACTGGTTTTCTCTTTAAAACAAGTAAATGAATGAAGTAACTATTTGCAGGCTCTGGCAGAAACGTTTCTGAACCCTGAAAGGTAAAGCAGTGCCAGAAATAAGCATTAGTTTTCGTGGGAGCATAATTGTTATAGCTCACTCAATGGCTTCATTAGATAACAGCCTTTTGTGCTTCTTACTAGAAGAAGTAATTTCTGTTGTGATGTTGATGAAAATGTATAAATGCTGTAATAATGGGTTTCTTGTTTCTGTATTTGGGAAATGTGTGATTCAACCTTTTCATTTTTCCCACAAGTTCTTAGTACTAATACTGTATATCCCTGTAAAGTATATCACTTTCCAGATTTTCTCTGGAAAATGAAAGTTGTTAACAAGTAGTTAAAACTAAAACCAGAGTGCAGGAGGAAAAAAAGCCGGCAAAACCTCAAAGCACACACTCCAAGATAAATTTGCAAGGTGAGCACAAGAAGCAAGTAAGTGTTGTATGGAAATATTTCCTTCTTCCTCCAGGGCTGGAGCAGTGCCTATTCAATAGAATCGGTCATCATGCAGATCAATGCCACTTTAGTCAAAGGAAAAGCCAGAGTGCAGTTTGGAGCCAATAAGGTAAGTGCATTGTGTGTATCAGTTACACAGATTACTGTTAGGCTTCCATTTCTTTGCTGGCTTGCATAGAAGGTGCTTAAAGACAAAATTGTCATTGCAAAATTTATTTGCATTTTGATTTATCTTGGTGTCTAGTGCATATATGAGCTATGAGTTTGTTAAGAAATGATGAATGTATGAGAGGGATAAAACCTTGCGATGGGCAGGGTGTGGAAATAATTAGACTGGTGCTATCCCCAGATTTGCGGTGGGAAGAAGGAAGGAGGGTTCAGATCCAGGCATCAGGAGGATTTGAAAATTGTGGCTCTGAGAAGGGCTCTGGATGACAGCCTGACTGCTGCGATCATGTACACTGATGTTAAGAAGTGCTCCTCCTTTTGCTGGACTGAACACCTGCACAGTTTCATGAGACAGTGAAAAATAATAGTGTCAAATACTTCTGAGGTAGCCATTCAGCATTAATGGAAATGGTTAATTCAGTGCAAGTGTGCATGCTGGTCATGGGCCCTAACTTAAAAGACTGAAGCACTAAATGCAGGTTTCAAAGGATGTTAAAAACTGGCATCCAGATGAAAATTTCATTGACTTTAACATTTAAAGTTCTGATTTAAGAACGGTGAGCTAGGTAAGGTGTAAATGGTTATGGTCATGATTATGCCTGACCGGGTAGCGGGTCAGCTGAGCAGGGCAGAGCTGCAGTGGGGATCGCCTGAAGCCCGCTGATCCGGTTGCCCACTCTTCTGACTTACGTAGGTTCTGAACCTTCTGGTGGGGGGGGCCTTTCCAGCAGCAGGGGGTGTACAAATTATTACTGTCATGACAGAGAAATGAGAAAATAATGGTATTTGTCCTGAAAATCTTGTACGTAACAACCAGGAACTTGGTAACATTGTGCATGGATTTTATTCATAAAAGCCACCGTAGTGTTTCTTCATAAAACTGTTTTTAAGCCTTGAATGTCTACATGCAGTTTTTTATATGTTTTTTCTTCTTTCAGAATCAATATAATCTAGCAAGAGCACAGCAGTCCTATAAGTCACTAGTACAAATACACGAGAAAAATGGTATGTATTTCTTCATTCTTGTCTGCACAGCAACCTGGGAATTGGTGTTTGGCCACAGTAAAACTTGAAGTTCCAGGATGTCTTTTGTTGGCTTGGGAAGACCATAAATGGTGTTCCCTTTTTCTCATCTTGCACTAAGAAGACAATAGCGCTTAAAGTAACTTGACTAACAATCATTGCAGCTTTTCCAGCTTACATGAGTGTTCCACGTATCCCTACTGGCTGTTGAAAGGTAGTTTTCTTTTTCAGCCAGTCAATCTAGGAGTTTTATTGTTACTGTAGTTTTTAAAGTGTCTTATTTATTAGTGAAGTACTTGCTGGAAGTGTGCCTCTTGCCCTGGAAAGGCTTTAGCTCTGTGTGGCAAGACCTTAGTAGTAGTAATCATTAAGGAAGAGATAAAGTGGAAAGAAAGACCAGAGACTAAAAAATACACAAAGTCCAAGTGAAGTGTGCTGGCTGGAAAACTGTACAATAGAAGTGGAAGAGAAACTTTTTTTTTCTTTTACCCTATTTAAAGCCAGTTAATGGTCTCTCAGCTGCATACAAGAGGTATTCAGGGGTTTCAGGTGTAATTGAATTCATTGTGCCAGGATGAGAGGACAACAAATGACCTGAGGCTTAAGACGTTTAAGTGGCTTACATGTTATGTCAAAGTAGTCAGCAGAATTTGTACCCTGGTCTTAAGGTGAGGGAGTTAGTCCTAGTTACCACTTCTGTGGTGTTCTTTGATCCAAGTTGGACACAGTGTTCTCTGAGAATTCACATTGTTCTGAATTTGACGACATATTTCGGCGTGACCCTGGTGAGCACCTCAGTTTCCCTACCCCTGCAGTCGAACATACTACTTTGATCTTCCTCCCAAGAAAGAGAAAGATAACAACTTAAAAATGCTTTCCAATTTTACGGTATTTTGATCTTGCCATTAACTGAGTCTTTTCATTTTTGCTTTGACTGTATACTTAAAGCGATGTGCTAGCCTTGACTTCGGTGATTACTGCTGCATCAGGAGCTGTACACAAAGCATTGACAGTTGCAGTGACAGTTATTGCTGTTGCAAAAGGCATCTTTAACTTAATAGCTGCTACCTGTTCTCTGGGATGATAAAATAGGCCCTGTATTCACTGTACAAAAAAAATAGAGGAATTTTTACAATAGGGGCTGGGAGAATTAAGACTGGAGATCTGGAGGTGGCTAGAAAACAACTATGCACACTCGATCGGGTATGATTCAACTGCTAAACATGCCAAATCCTATCAGGAGACAAGTTGTTCAGCTGACATTTCTGAGCCTGTTTCTACAGCAGGATTTGCAGAGGGAGGATAAACTGTTCAAACGCTTGTGCATGCCGAACTCTTCAGTACACAAGATGGGGTTTATATACAAGTATCCCTGTGTAGTCGTGTTTGTGTGTCTGTGCATGAAGTGGCTTGAGGACTTGGGCGTTTTACCTCTATTCCATTCCGTTTTGTTACAGCAATGCTCCTCCTTCAACAGCTTCCTCCGCTGATGTCCAGCTTGTCCAGCTCAGGAGAGCTGCTGCCACAAAACCCCCCAAACTTGGAAGTATTTACTTCTAATGCCCAAATTGCGGGTCGGAAGCTGGAACGTGTCGCGTGCTTTAGCTCCCACAGCAGACCACTGGCATTGGGGGCACTGAGTCTCACTGAGCCTGGGCTGCTTTAAGAAGGAAGGGAAGAGCCGTATTAGGCTTCCACCTCTCACAAAGAGAGTGTAAGATGGGAAGATTGTCTTGATGTAGCGGTGTCGGTGTCTAACACATTTCTTTCTTCTCTGTAGGCTGGTACACTCCTCCAAAAGAAGATGGCTAACATTGAGGACTGTTGTTTTCCTGGACCAATGTCAACAAAACAAGCTCTTTTTTATGTTTTCCAACACACAGACTCAAGCTACGAGTGCCCCTATAACAGCTGTACTGAAGACTTTAGCTATTAGATAAGTTAGTGGATAATCTGTCAACTGACACGTAAAGTATAAGTTACAGCCTTACCATTCCGCTCTTCTTAGGTATCTGGACTGAGCAGTTTGGGCCTTTGCCGTATTTGTTCTTACGGATTAAGCATATTTGGGCCATGCCCTCCCTTCTCCCTTTTTTTTATTTGAAAGCATAAGCTCCCTACAGCAAGCTGTTGAGTTACTAAAGATCATTCAGTAGGAGTGAGTTGTTCACACACTTTTGTGTATTTCTTACCTTTTGCAGAATGCAGACTGCAGAGACTTGCGTTGTATCGTTTCATTTAAAGCCAAGAAGTTTAATACGTTGTTTAATACTGTTTTAGGAAATGTCAGGTCTTGCAAATCACAGTAGTTTTTCTGGTCTAAAACGACAGCATTTGTAGTATTTCCAAATTAATGATATAGGTAAAACACATGTATGTTAAGTCATTAAACATTTTTCATGGCTGTATGAGAATATGAACTATTTCTTGGAAAAGATGCTCTTTGTTTAGGTTTTGTTAATTTGGTTTGGTTTGGTTGGGGGTTTTTTTGTTTGTTTTCTCTCTTTTTTTTTTTTTTTTTTTTTCTTAAGCAGAGCAAGGCTGTGCCAATGAAACCTTGTAACTAGTCACTTCCACTGGGGCATCAGAACTTGCTGGGCTGTTCCTGCTACTTGTTGGCTCAACCTCCTTAACAAGAAGAGCCGCACTATGAAGCTTGAAGTTATTTAAAATACTAAAAACCTTTTTAGGTGTTCCATTTTATTAACGGGTTGTTGCAATCATTTGTAAACTAATGAACTTATGAAGCGATTGGCACAAATTGAAAGTCCTCAAATGAAATTTTTTTATATAAAAGCTACAATAAAGTACAAAAACACACGTTCTGATTCAGAGGTTTAAGAAATGTTGCCATAGTCGTGACAGTGGGTTTGTTATTGAAAGACTAATGGGAACTGTTCTTTATTAGGAGATTAATTTGGGTCTGTGTAATCACACTATATTTCATTGCCTTACCTGAATCGATTCTATTTCGGTTGTAGTACTAGTCATTAGGCCTCTGCACCCCTCTGGGGCTGAGCTAAGGGTGTGTATCATGGATTAAGCACTTTTTAGAAGCTCAGAAGCATGCTTTTGTTACGTTTTTTTAGTTGACTATCAAACTTGTGCTCTCTTCTCTATCGGGCACCCACAGGTCCTTGTGTATTTGCTTCTAGATCCAGTTTTTAGCTTGAAAGAAACGGTCGGAGAGGTTTGGCCCTACTTCCAATGCGTATTGTTTCACATGTACGGTGGGTGACGTCCCAGCCTTTCTGCTTGCGTGGTTGTACCGGTGTGGGGCCG